CCCATCACTGATTAAGGAACCAGTCATTGACCTCTTCCCCTTCCTTCCATCCTAATCACACTTGTAGTTTTTAACATAGAAGAGGCTGTCAAAAAATCTTCAAATATGGAAATTCACTTGTGTCTTTGCGCAAGCCAGTTTCTCAGCACTCTTATAAGGCTGTGGTTGTAGTGAAAAATTTGAGGAAGAGGTGCTATCTGTGGTTCCTTGATCTCCTGGAGGATACAAAACTAGGCAGTAAATTCATAATATAAAATGGTGTAATAATGATTGAGAGTAGACACTCTCTCTCTCTCCCTCCCTCTCTCTCTCTCTCTCAGACACACACACACACTCCTACACAGAGTGAGAGTAGGTGAATGATAATGGCTTTATCAGCTGCTCTGGGCACTTTTTGGCTGAATCAGAAGATTATAATGCCAAACAAACAAACAAACAAAAATTATTAGTTGAGTAATTATCTATCCAATGGTCTCTGTGTAGTCCAAAGAACCTGTTATTAATAATATTAAAAGGGACTTGTTCCATGTCAAAGTAAGATGGGGCAGACATTCTCCCTCAACTTTTCCCATTTGCATGGCTGATTGCTGGGACTAAGTATTATCCATGCTGTATTCCCCATAAACGTTCAATTGCTTATTATGTTTGCCTTTATATCATTTGTCTCCAATATTACTGAACAGATAATTTGATTATTTATTAATTATAATTTCATTTTGCACTTCTGGAATGTGTGAGCCTGTTTAATAATGCAGAGTGTACAAGTGGCAAAAGAATTGCTGTTCAGGCAGACCCCAGTTCATAATACAAGATTATAACTCTCATCTCCATATTCACTAGGTACTATTTAAAGATATATGGTGAAAGTACATTTTAGGAGGACAAATGAGGAATAAGGAAGCTATATTAATAAGTCCCCTCTCCCACTCAACTGGAAGGTGGAGCTAGGATGAAGTTGGCTTTCTCCCACTCTCTGCCTTCAATCTTTCCAAGCATCCTGCAGAGTTTTTAAAGCATCCATTCAGACTTTACCGTCTTCTTTACCTGGCTCCTGCTTAGCTCACTACACTTTGATCTATGTGGCCAAACCTATCCACCCCCACACATTAGGAGCTTCTTTGTCATAAAAGTAGTAGGAGACAAAATTCTGCAGATAACATTTCTCAGGTTGAATGTTAAGAAAGGTTTCTAACAGTAAGAACAGCTTGATGAGGGACCAATAACTGAAGAATGCAATGATTTGTCTTCATTAGATGTTTTCATGAAGAGTCTGGATAGCCATCTATCAAACGTACTTTACTTTGGGTCCATGCACTGAGTGAGGAATTGTATTTTATAGGCTCAATCACCTCCTGCATTCTCTGTTACATTTTTGTAATTCTTTGTCACCACCCATACTTTTCTCACAGTTTATTATATTATTTTAGTGTGGTTAATACTACAATTAGTACTACAATTGAAGAGGGATTTTTTTTTTTGTCCTACCTTTTTCACTACAGTGTGAAGACACCCTACCATAACAATGAAGTGTTAAAGTTCAGCACCCTTTTAAGTATATGAATCAAACGTTTAACCAGATTTTTTTTTTTAAAAAAGCTTCATATTGGCAGATGGACCTAGAAATGATGTTAAAGATGCTAATTCAGCAATTAGTGATCAGTTCACTTAATGGGGGCTACATTTGTGCAAACTGTATCATAGCTTTCTTTTTATTATTCAGTGTGTAAGATATCCCATCATGTTAAGCATGCACTTGTTTAACCTGGCAGAGGGAAAATGGCTTTGCTTTTAGTGGAGCCGATGACCACAGCAGAATGAGAAGCTGATGGATGGATTGGCACTTTGAAATTCCTCCCTGGACAAAGGGGAGGACCTGGGATTGCCATCAGGCTCTGTACAGAGGGTCTCCATGACAAGACCATAAAACAGCAGTCTCTGGCAGGTTTTAGAGCTGTGGGAGGCAGGAGAGTCAGCATGCCCAAGCTGCAGTTCAGAGTCTTCAAAGAGATGCTGGGTTCGCCACTTAAAGCACTTCTGGAAATGGCTTGTAAATTGCTTTTTGAATACTAAGAACCATCAGAAAGACAAGTTTTATTTCACTGGATGATTCTCCTTCAATCCTCAATGACAGAAATTTCATCTAAGTTTAAGAACTTAAAATAATTTTTTTTCCTTTTAATTTGGGATTAAGCAGCCTAAGGGTGATTAGAACATTGATTTTGGAAAGTTATAAATGGACTAAGGGGCTAGATTGACTGGAAATAAGATTTCAAAATTAATTATAAGAATCCTTCCTGTGATTTGTTTAAAATCCTATTAAATGATATGAAGATCTTGGAGTTAAGTGTAAAAAATCTTTCCATGGGAAAATGGTGTGGATTTGAGAAAAACGTGGTAAGAGGAGACCTTGAAGGCTCGTTACTAGAGGCAACCAGAAAGAACTAAAGATTATAATCTAAGGAGAAGACCCACTAATACAGAATGGAGAAAAGTATTTTAACTTCAGAAAAATTCAAGGATATTTGGCAACCACGTACTCAGAACGTTTTCTTAAGATTGTCTGCTACTTTAAAAATGGGTTCAAAAGAGCTGATAGAAGAGGATACAACTGAGAATCAGGCTCTTTTGGATATGGATTTAAAAATGATAGGATACAAGAATGATATTGACAAAGGTGCTGCACCAGACTTACAAATGAAACCCACTGATGTTTTAATAGCTAAAAGGGACAGAAGAGTGACTTGAATGTGTGGATCTCAATGCAGAAGAATGACTTGGACAACTTCCTTATTTTGGTCTTAGAAAAGAGATGTATTACACTTATGAAGGAGTTCCTGAGAAAAAGTAAAGAGAATGAAAGAAATCCAATTTTAGGACATTACTTAAAAGGAATAAACATCAAAGCTGTATGTATATGTACAGTATATGTATATGTGTATGTGTATGTGTATGTGTACGTATATGTATGTATGTAGTTATTTCTGGTAACTCTTAATGGACTTTTGCTGACTAAGATTGAATGATGAAGCTTTATTATTTATTAATATTTAAAAGATGAGATATGAGATGAAGAAATTTTTGGTTAGGGAAGGTGATAAGTTACTGAAATTGTTTGTATTTTTCTTGATGAAGGCGAAAGTCATTTCTTTATATCCCCCTTTTTTTTGTTCTTTATATAGTTTTTCTTTCCCCCTCATTTTTCCCTTTCTTCCTCTCTGCACTTAGTTTTTTATCTTGGTATTTTTAAACTTCAATAAAAGTTATTATTAAAAAAAGTATGCACTTGTTTTATTATTTAGGAAGCATTTACACCAGCCCCTTCCCTGCAATAATTCCCATTATTCTGATTTATAATACTTTTAACCTACTTTTTACAATCCAATTCCTGAAAATAAATGTCTTTGTTGTCCTCCCAACCCTAAAACCTTTTCCTATTATAGCAAAGCACTAGGTTCTAATTTCATTTCATTAGATCATCCACTTATGTCCAAAGTGCAGAAGTGGGTCTGAGTCAAGTCACACATATGTAAATAAATGTCAATTTGCCCCAGACACCTGGTGATGGCTTCCCTGTTAAAATAGTCAGTATACAAATCACTTACAATTTTTTTTTCACAGTTATTGTCGCTGTTGAGTCTGCTCTTTACAATGTTCAGTAATGATCCAGTAATAGATAAATGCTATCCTTGTTCAGTCATGAAAAAGATGTATCATCAGAGAGTAACTCTGAGTTTATTTGGCAATCTTAATAATAAGTTGACTTTACATTTGGCAATCATTTTGTTTCCCTGTAGACTATACAAACAAAACTAGCAAAATATTATAATGAGCTTCTGTATTTTTAAAATAATTAGCAATTAGCAGCTACTGCTATCCATGCTCAGATGCGGATTAAGTGAGGAGACTCTCAAGAAGTATGTTCTAGAACAGGTCTCATCACCTGGGATTCTATCTTACATCCAGCTTTGAAGCGATTGCATGCTCCATCTCAAAGGAATCTAAGCTGTGGGCTATCTTGTGATAGCTATGAGTTCCGTTCATTAGTTATGAATAGCGTAAATAAGTTCTTTCAAGCATGAAATCTGCAATGTTAGTATTTCTGTCATTGCTGAGAAGCAGAATGCTATGTAGTATTCAAAATGGGGATGCACCATTAAATAGATTAGGGGCCCCCAACCTTTTGGGGGATGCAAGTATGTTTGCAACTTTGTGTTATTGCCTATTTTTCAGTAGATAAATGTTTCAATTTGGTTCTGGCTACTTTTTCTATTCGTATTCTCCAAGCTATTCTTGATTGCTCACCATTTTTTCCCCCTAATAATGCTTATGAACTCTAATACATATTAAACATTGGCAGTTCTAGAACTTGCTTTTATGCATCCCATTTTCTTTATTCATATATTTGTTTGTTTTGATAAGCAGAAGATCTTGTTAAAATAAATAAAGTCATATAGAACACGGAGCTTGGGAAATATTCATGTACCCCAGAATAAGACAAAGTTGAGAAAGCCAAAAGGATCAATGATTGCTCTTCGTGTTTGCTCCAGGTTGGAAAACAAAGTGCCAGAAAATGATTACGGGTCCATTCTCACAATCCTCATACTGTGGCACCATTATGAAAGCTTTTCAAAAGTAATCTCTTTGTGACATGTGGAAAGAGTTCATCCTAATCTTTGACAAGCTTTTGGAAGTATCTTTTTGTGATGAATCTGACTTTATAGCACTAGATGTCCACTTCTGCATCCCATTTAATACAGAAAACCGATTTGCATCCAATGCATTTCCCCCTTTTGGGAACTCTGTGAAACTCTGTT